TAAACGCAGGAAATCGGAAAGATACAGTCCTATTGATTGTTGAACCAGCACTCTGCGGAGATTTTCCTTAGCGTAGTTGGGAATTCTGCAACAGCTTTCAAATAAGCGCGAAATGTCACATTTTGAAGTTAGGGACTTCAAGTCGGATTAACATTCTGAAATTTTTAACACTGTTTCCAATTTTGCATTCTATCTTGGGCCAAAAGCATTTTCATAAAAAGAAAAATTAAAAGAAAAAACGGAATGCATTGATATTCAACTTTCAGATATCTTCTTGCTGTCGATGATAAGATCAGTGTCACAATCTTCCAAAATTTAATTTGGTAACCAGTGTTATTACATGAGACCGTCTTGGCAACTTGGCACCCGTTTAGACTGCATCTTAAGTACTTAATAAGCTTACTTTCGTTAGCCGATGCAAGGCGTTAAATGATAAAATTACAATTATAGTTAATCTGCAATATCGTAAGGGTTTCCTGTATTGGTGTTGGAAAGAAAAGGAATGGAAATATTATATTATTTTAAGTCATTTAATGTAAATTATAAAAAGGGCAGGTTGATTACTTCGTACTCCTTCTTGGTGGTCTCATCTTAAAGGTCGAGTTTGATCACGTTCTTCTTGTGAGCTTGGCCACGTTCTCCTAGTGAGTTTAATCACGTTTTCTTCGTTGTGATCGTGAGGTTGACATGGAACTCGTGATAAGCCATGTTCGTAAATAAGTTAATTTGTTAGTCCAGGAAGAGTAAATCTCCCTGGTAATAGGTCGCGTTCGACACCTTCGTGTTCCCAGAGGTAATTTAAGGGTAAAAAGGTGATACCCCCTATGTTTCGCAACAAGAAGCAATTTGGGGGCGGTACTTGTGAGCGCCTTTCTTCTTTAACTCTTGTGACCAAGATGTTGTTATGTGACAATCTTTAAAGGTGATTTTCTCTTAAGATACACTTTTAGGTATAAAAAATTCTCTGAACCAAGGTTATTTGTAATTTTTATATTGTCGATCTCGTTTCTGTTCTGGCCGATCTCAACCGTAAAGATATGAAAACTAAGGAAGAAATTGATTTTGTAACTGCGTAGACAACCCTAAGGTGCATACTCAGTATGTGGGAACTATAATACGTAGTGAAGCGTGATTCGCTAAATGAGATGGTACGATGACGACACAAGAAGATTGACGGCCTAGAAATGTCATCCGCAGTGTCACCTTCATAAGCGGAGACTCTAGTTTTCCCTGATACATTGAAGCCAGTTATGACAACTTGAGAAGGAAAGAAAATAGAGAAGGATCAACCAAACCGAAACGAGTGTTAGAGAAATTAATTCTAACAAAGGCAATGTGATCTAATGTGACGATAGCTTTTCGCCCCAAGACTGGAAAACTGGAGGACTGAATCTTCGCGGACGGGACAACAACAACTGGGGGAAATAACTCTGTAGAGACGACTTGGCAGCGAGAACGGAAACTCGTCACGATTCCCTGGTACACGGAGATCTGCTTCGAGCGAGCTTATACGGACGTCAAGGATAAGACAATCTTTGGTTCCACAGTGCTTTTATTCTAGGTCAGGCCAACAAGCGACATGACCTCTAGCATACTCTAGTTTGTAATCATCAAAGCTGTACAAGGTACTTGCTTAAGAAGTAACTGGTGCGAAGTGCTATTGTTACACAAATCGCAATATTTGAATAAGGACACAAAGGAGCGGAAAAAAGTCTCTTTGAAGCTAAACAAAAACTACTTAAATATTCCATCTGTTTCTACGACGGAAAGAAGCTCAAAATTAAAAAGACGGATGCAATAAACTTTAGGCCATTAAAGTAGGAAACCTAGGTGCGAATTTACAGCTCTGGTATAGAAAACAATACCTATCTTAATTGCAGTAGCGCAGCTCAGGAAATAAAAAATGGAAAAGCAATTAAAAGTTTCTGCTTATTTATACAAGATTGGTTTGGAAACCATTGCATGAAAAGAAATTAGATTTACGCGTTTAAACTCAGCTGCTATCTACCATGAAAACCAATGTTTCCAGAAAGACCATTAACACTTATATTTACCTAAAAAACCCATGTACTAGATGACAAAAGTGCCGACAAGCAGGTGCATAGTAAAAGCGAGTAATCGATAAAAATCCATTCTAAAAGCCACTGTGGTTTTTGTACATTTTTATTTAACTACCAAAGGAAAAAAAACCCGAATAACCGAATATTCCAAATGTAAAAGTATATGAATATATTTTTAAGATGTTTATCCCGAAACCCACGAAAACCCTAAATACAATATTTTTGTGATAAGTCAACAATTTACTTTTTCTGGTTATAACTAATTTGAATAACCAATAACATGAATAGAACAACTCGTTCACCATTCTTTACCGCTCAACCGGTCGAGTAAAAGAACGAACAAAATACAGAACTGGGTCTAAACCGATAAATAAATATAAAATTTGTCCTAAAATTGAAATACATAATTTTTCCCCCTGACACTAAGTCAATCTGATGTCAGTTAGAGTTTCCTGCATTTTAGTTCCCAGTCTTTGTGATGTCTATTATTGAAATAAAGTTGTCGTAAGTAATCTTATACTCCAATATAGCTTCCTTTTCGGTTTTCATAACACTAACCCAAACACTTTTCTAAGAAATCTCGCAAATGAACAAAAACAAACCTAATGCTTTCGCCGGTGAACCGAATCAATATTTTGGAGGGTCGCCAATAGGTCCTTCTCCTTTATTGTGGTTCTCAGGGTAGGTCTGCGGTCAAATTTAGAATGTCCACTGATGAAAGTTAAGGAAGATAAGTTAACAGCTCATCTTTATCTCCTTTCAAACGGAGATTAAAGCAAAGTTATGTTCATTATCTCCATGTTTGTAGGAGTTTATAATCTGCCTTCAGTTTTTTTTTTCTAAACATCGTTTACCGAATTATAATGAGTGCATCGGTACGCTTCCGTCGGAAGCTCTTTATTTCAATTACCGACCATAAGCATCGATAGATTTGTAACTTTATCTCTGTCTTCGAGTTGAGTTTTGCGTATCTGTTTGGCTGCCAATTGGATATATTGTACACACATTGGCAGCTGGTTTACCATGTTTTGAGGTTTAATAGATTTCGTGTTGTTGATTTATTTGAATGTGACGTTTCTTTTTGTCGCCATTTTACTTTGTGAGATATTTTGCTCCTGGTTTGGCCGCTTGAATCTTGTTAGTCAAAATTGCAACGCCCAGGTAAATTTATCACTTGCCTGGGTACAGATCGAGTTTTCAATTTCAAATTTGGCTATCTTTCTGTTAGAGTTTGGCCGTCAATTTATCCGACCTTTAAGCAAACAAACAAACAAAATGAAATAAAATTACGTAGATGTTAAGCTTATCGCTATCCTATGATATCATCAAAGATAGGGATCACCGCAAAGGTTTCTTAGATTCTTTCAAATCCTCTTGATTCCCCCGATCCTAAAGGCGCTCACAAGTAGAGTTTTGAGTTTTCCTCGCGCTCTTTTTTCTTTAAACAACGTAATGTGATAAGATTTCCGGCTAAGTCGGCATTTGACGCATTGACGCCACATGTTAAGCACCTTAAAGGTAGCTTTGAGCTAACAAGACTAATTCTTTTCCTACTCTCTAAACTAACCCGCTTCGAACAAAAAGGAAATGATTATTGACTGATCCCTCAGACTCAATAATCCCACTTTGCCATGTAATGGCAGAGAAAATCGTTGTCTGTGACTGTTTTTTCATTTGTTTTCATGAACGAACATCACAGTAACATTATTTGTACAGTGGTAGTATCTGTTAAGCGGAAAACTGATTAGGCCCGCAAGTCATCAACTTAAGCTGCCATTTAGGCGCTTGTGATATTTCAATGATTTAGTCATTTATACGACAGCTGTTTATATGTTATATTTTGAATATATATATTGCTACAAGAGAATATCAACAGTTTATAACCTGTTAATCGCTAACATTGTTTGCTATCCCAAGGTAACTAAAAAGAATGACATATCATCCTACAAATTATTACAGAAAGGCCTAATTCATGAAAAATGAGACCCAACGGCCTTTTCTGGGTGATTTCTTGTTAGATGAAAATAATTGCTTTGACATGCGAAAAAAGTTGCAGTAGATAATAATTACAGTGCCATATCTTTTTAGGTAAAAACACCAAACAAGCGTCTGTTAAGAAAGTATTTGTGTCATCCACTTCCCTCAACTTTTAAGATATAAAAGGATATTAATGAGGCATATCGTTGTAGTCTAAATTCTGCTCAATTTTTTTTTCATTGACACACAACGTTACATCATAAATGAACATTCATTTTCATAGAACATCTTCTAAGATGTTTTGAATCCAGGATTAAATTTCTTTAAGGTTTGAATTTTCCATGATGCAAAAAAGACAATTGTAGAGCTATAAGAACATGAGCCTCTTTTATAAAACCTTTGTTATCATACTTGCACTAATCGGCGTTACCACCAGCGCCTTTGTTTGGAGGCTTGGCACATTAACTCCGCCCACGCTCCTTTAAATCGTGACGATGGCGGTCTGCTTCCTGACGCCTATTTACACCTCGTCAGAAAAAAGGCCGCTAATTAGTGATCATATAAAAGGACCTCTTGTTGCAGCGTTTAGATCACCCCTGATGAAGGCACTAGACAGGAGTGTCGAAACGTTGGGTCTATGAATTGTAACTTCTTCGGTTACATTCATTAAATCTGCAAACCAGTGTAGCTTGAAACTATGTCTGATTGTCCACCTGGTTGCCGTGTGAACTTTAATATACCTTTGTTATCGTTTGCGTATTTGGCTTTCCCAAGCCTCTTACGCAAATAATTCCACCGACAAATCCGACGGGGGGGGTCCTGTTTTCTTAACTCAACCGGTAAAAAAACTAACTTTTTGGTTGAAATGCCGCCCTGTCCCGTAGGGGAGTCTCTGATTGGCTGACCATTTCTTACAGCTGAATAAAAGAAATTTTACAGAGCAATTCTGACAGTCCTCCAGATGTTAAAGGAAGATTAAGGTAGGTAACTTACTCAAAGCAGATATCTTAAGAGTTTTACTAGTCTTGTAATTTCACGAATCTTTAGAGAGTTTTGACTTATTACAATATGACACGCTCCTTACCGTTTATAACTCTACATGTATATGTGTCGTCTGATTAGTGGAGAAATTTACGTCTTGTGACACCACAACAGGTTTCTGCTTCCCAAATGTATTATCGCAGATTTTCTTTTGCTTGTAACAGGATGCCACGGTATGGTTTAATGAAATCCTTTTACACTAAGCAAAGTACAACCAAGAGAATATAAACTAATAACCTCATGTTACAGCTCAATGTCTCAGTTTCTATAAAACTGTTAAGCTGTTAGTGATAGTCATGGTTTTGAAGTGTTTAAGAGATAAAAGATTTGCGGAGAGTGATAAGGAGAGGTATACTCAATTGGCCTCGAAGTTGTGTAGCGTGACTCTTTGGGTCACCACTGCCTTTTGCATCGTGCATCTCTCGAGAGAAGGAATATTTGAAAATTCCCGTCAGCGCCTTACGGGCCGCAAAGGTTCGGTTTCTTTCCTTTCGAGCTACTATTCTAATCGGAATCTTAGACACGACCTCTACAAAAGAAAGGCAATTTGACGTATGCGGCTGGTTTCGGAATTTTTAAGCTACCTTTTGTCAGTTTCTTTTTCACAATATTTCACTGTGCAGACCGACCGTAAGCTGCTAAGTGACGTTTTTTGCCCTGTATGTCTAAAATAATATTATCTGCCTTCAGAAAATTGATTTGCAAAATAATGTTGTCGATGCAAATCGATCATTGATTGGTTAGAGTAAGCATGTCTTCTAAAAGCTGTTCGAAACATTCCAATCCGCTTCCCAAGATTAACATAGCTATTAATGTAAAGCCCTAAAATATTTCTTTAAATTTGAGTTAAACAATGTCATTTGAATTCATATTATTGCTTAATCCTCCACAATTTGTTGCTCGTTGTAAAAATTTTAGCAAAGATGAGTGTTGCACTTTAAAAAACATTTTGATAAGTTTGCGAGTCCGTTGAATTCACCCCCTTCCACCGTAAACTATATCGCTGAAACCAAAGAGATTATCTGTTTTTTTCTTTGAATAATTAAAAATGCGTTTCTCAACGATTCGAATGGCGAGGCTTGATCTTACAAGTACTGATAATGTTTTTCGCAGAATAATAACTGAAGCGAGGGAATTCCTTCCGCCTATGTTTCCCTAACATAGGAAGACACCGCAAAATGCCCTAAATACTACGGGAAAACGTTTCTTGAGGACCACAAAGTAGCTTCAATACCTCGCACTATTCTATCAGACAGGTGTTTAATGCAGTGGCTTTTAAGGAGTTTAGAGTGCTTCTGACTGGGAAATCTGGATTTAGCGTTTGGGATCCGGAGTTTCGAATTTTGCAATCAAGTATGAAATCCAAATCTGGACTTCGACTTTAAGAAATCTTTCTTCGAAGTAGATTTCAATTAAGAAATCCAACACCGGATCTAAAAGATTTCTTTATTGTGCGTTTTTTTTCTTGTTTTGTTTTTTTTTTGTTTTGTTTTTTTTTTGAGAGATCCGATAAAGGATTTTCAAAGCTGATCGCGTTAACAGAGGTTACGCATTAGCGCGTTTCTTCGATTGAGCAGCGTACACGAGACGCGCACAATTCAGTTCTCTCTGCTATCGCTTCTTTACTCACAGGATTACCCTGACAGCTGTGTCTGATTTTATTTTTTTTTAGATTACTCCCCAGACCGTTCCGTTATACATTAATATTTGCTCAATATTGCCGTATAAAATAATATTCTCTTTGTGAGAGGTAAGTGATTTCTTGTTGACGGTAGGACACCTACGCGTTGGAAAAGTTTCTTGCATATATGGCTGATATGGTCTCTGATGGAAAGGATCTAAAATATATAAACTCCTGATTGGAATTCAGTTTTATCCTAAATGTCTCCTTTTTTTGCATTAATTTTTGGATGGTCATCAGCTTTTAGCTTTGATCGTAACATCGTTCCATTTCCAAACACTGACTTAGTTTTACTAGCCTTCGATTTGAATAGTTTCTTTTAGGGATTCATAAAAAAAAGATTTCGTTTGAGACATAGTTATTGGATTTTTTGTGTGTATGTAATTTTTTCATTCCATTTATTAGCAAACTAGCGGGTACGTGTATGGTCCAAGACTTGTTACCAACCCCTAGAACGCACTAGCCCTTCCACATATCATCAGTAACACGAATGGAACTACCTACAAAGAATGTTGTTATCTTTACACAATCCATCAATCATCACTGACATGTCCGTGTATTTTGCTTTATTTCTTATTTTGATTTAGTGCTTTTTCTTCATGTTTGGTTTGCTTTATTTTTGTTTAGCTGTGTTTCTGGATAATACTCCGTCCTGATTACTAAGCATTTCATTCCGGAAGTGTACAATGGTTAAAGGTCGAAAAATAAGTAAGTGACTGTTTTATTGGACATTGTGCATCCTAAAAATTAGGCTAAATCGTTCTTGAGAGCAATTTGCTGATTAACTATTCTTCGGTTCTAGGGTAAAAACTCACCATTCCAATTATCATTTTTTTAGTTTTCCCGACAATTTCTCCGATATAGCAGTTTTACAAAAGGCACGGTCCACTAAGGGCAAAACGAAAATATTCCAACCCCTTCTCGCAGGATGATACGAAACACCACCCTATCTGGAGAATATGAGTCCTAACGTGTCTGTTCATAATGCAGCGTGATTTCCTGATTTATCGTTTGAGCATTTACATAGCCTAAAGAGGTTTATCTCTCGGGTCTGAAGCTGTGCAACAATACAACCTATTATAAAGAAAAGTGAGTGAGAAATTTAATGGTGCATTAACCTCTGTTTCAGTAAATCCTGCTTTGCTGCTTTTGGCGATGTGTTGGGCAGTAAATAAATTAGCTCTAGCGCTTGTAATCCCAGGTAAGTTGGAGGTCAACTATCCTAAGTGGAGCTGAACATCAGTGAAATTTGTGAAAGATTCTCTTTGATCACTTATAGTGATCATGTTATTATTATCATTACTATTATTTTCTTTTTTCTAAACACCGTTGAAAGTAGCGAATACGGTACGCAGTCTATAAGTGTGGGTGAAAACAGTCCAAATCTTAGAAACTGTTTTTAATTGCATTATCGGGCTTTAGGCATCATTGGCGATTGACAAACCAGCAGTGTAGAGTCTATTTGGCTCAGTGGTGGAGATCCAAAGGTCCCGGTTCAAATATCCTCTGGAAAAATCAAATTCGCAATCTGTTTACCTGACCTCTCGCTCGTGACAGGACAAAGAAACAACTTTTTTTCCTTGTCGAATTCTGTGTCAGATCTGACCGAGGAATAGTAATTTCACTTTAAGAAAATAACAAACAAATGAGCGAAATTTGTGTCATGAGCTAAATCGATCAACTGCAAAGTTTCACGTGGCTTGGAACTTCGAGGTATATTTTTTTTCCTCAACAGCTAAGAACTGTGCTGAGCTTTACAAGTGCGGCCAAACCATCAGTGGTGTTTATACAATCGACCCTGATGGTTCAGGTGCCTTTGATGTGTATTGTGACCAAACGACAGCTGGTGGAGGATGGACAGTGATCCAGAAGAGACTATGTAACATTGCTGATTTCAACCGCACCTGGGATGATTACAAAAAGGGATTCGGTGATTTCCTCGTTCGTGAATTTTGGCTGGGACTGAACAAGATCCAACGTCTGACGCAAAACAAGACAGAAAACAAACTCCGCGTGGATCTGGGAGTAAATGCGAGCAAAACTGTTCACGCTGAGTACGAATGGTTTGGTATTGAGAATGAGACAGCCCATTACAAGCTACACATCGGCAATATTTCATGTAAGCCAATCTACTATTTCACAATGAATGATAATTTTGATGGATGATCACTTTTATCACCAACCTTGCATATGTAGTCATTCTCAAAGCTATTCACCCCACATGTCTCTCAAACGACTATATGCCTTGGAAATATTTTTGTTCTTCGTGCATTTGTATATGGTTATGTATATCACACTCATGAGCCCTAAACGATCCATTTACTCGCAAGTTACCTGTGACTTGGTGGCAGAGAATCCATCAGGTGACACAAAGGCCTAGGATGTATAGAAAAATAGGTGTCAGATTTGACTCTGTAACTTTGATGCTTTGGAATGCAAAAGTGTTTTCTGAAACATCACCTCCACAAGCAATAGTAGCTTATAATTTTATACACACGTAGATGCCAAAAATAAGCCAGAGAAAGGCTCTTAACAATTACGGATTATTGTCAAATATGAAGCTAAAATATATTTAAGGAGGCTCCATAGAAAGGTGACAGATGAAGCAACAGATTCGAAAGTTTACGCACGCTCAGATATAGACATTGGCGAAGTTCTATTCTGAGAAAATGGGGATCTTTCGAGCAAGATTGATCGCGTTTCTTTTGTTGGAATTTCTTAAGATTTTCTAGGCCGTTAAACATATTTGTGCCCTCTCCAGTACCTGTTGATAAGAGAAATTGATAAGACCAAATTTGAGATAGAGGAAGAAAACAAAAAATTACAAATAGCGTTGAAACTGCCTCTGTAACTCCTATTTTTTCGGCTTTTAAATGATCGACAGGACAATTTTCACATATTGTGAACATTTTGGGAAATTCACCTAAGCAAACTGAAGAAAATCAAAGCCAAATTATTACTGGCGAGCGCCTCTCTTCGTGGAACCTTAGCTTAATAGCGAAAATTATTTTGATAATATTTACTACAGCAAACGATAGTCCGAACGTTGCTCATCGCCCTCTTGATAGCTTTTAGTAACCTAGAAAAGCGAAAACACAAAAATTTTATGGAAAAACAATGCGCTGGCGCGCGCGCCAACATTGAGCAAAAACCCTATGGAGCCTCCTTAAGTTTACTTTTTGTTCCTCTCCTTTTTTGTGCAGCTGCTACTGTTGAAGATTCCCTCTCCGGTCATAATGGCACGTTATTTAGTACGTGGAATAGATTTCCAGCTGATCATGATTGTGCACGGAAATATGGGGGAGGCTGGTGGTACATGTACATTGATGGAGTTTGTACTGTTAACTCAAATCTTAACGGCATCTGTCCTCATTCTGGAAGTAATTGCACAATTCACTGGGCAAAATTAAACCCTAAAGCTAAAAACAACGACCCCAAAACATCTGAAATGAAAGTCAGACCAGCAGACTTTTCCTAGAGCATTCTCTTTGAGGAACCGGTAATTTTTTCTTTGGGAAGATTTTTTTGTGTCATGAAACAATTGTTTATATGAAATAATAAACCAGATCCTCTTACAAGACTCTGTAATGTTCTCGGGGGGTTTGATAGAGTTATCTACGAGTTATCAGACAACATGGTTTATTTGATGAGTCTTTTGATGGAAACAAAACGCAAAATTTGTTTGGTGGAGCTGAAGCTTAAACCGGTGAACTACATCTGATTATGCTGTCAGTTTTAGATTTAAAAAAACTTTCTAGAGGAATTAATTATAATTACGTTAAATCGACTTTACTCTAAATGATTTATTTTAAGGTCAATTGTGAATGTTTTGAGAAAACGTTGAGATAAATGTTGTGTAGTAAATAAACGAAATCTTAAAACCTTTTTGTATTCGTATGGATGATGATGATGAGTCAGAAATTCGGTCTGGTTTTTCCACCGCAGGAAAATGCAAGATAGGTGCACGTGGCAGATTTTAATTTGAGTAAAGCAAAATGGTGGACATAGCCTGAGAATGAGGTTGTGTTTTGGCATCGAGTGTATCCAGGCTTCAAGTGCTGGGCCGCGCATAAACAATAACCAACCTTGTGACTGTTTACACTTATCTTTCGAGTAAACTTTAAAATATCTGTTTTCAAGCACAAACCTAAAACGGTGAATCGCTTCAATTGTTCACGTACGGATAAAACGCAAAAACAGTGGGAACAGTTAAAGTTTATTGGCTGATTGATTTAATTCGATTGATTAATTCAATTATCTTATATAAACATTAGAGATGATTACTTTAGCGGACGAAAAAAACCATATTTTTCTGACAACAACAACAAAAAAAAACTTGTGAAAGTCACTACCACATATCTTTAATTTCAATAAGTCGAAAAACTTGCGGTCCATAAAATGCTTTTTGTGGTATATCGTTCCGAGGTAGAAAATTTCAGATGTTTGTTATCAGATGTAAGCGGGAGAAAACCTGGTAAAAAAAGATCATCGCGTTCACATGCAAATATTTTTTGAGCGACTATGAGGCGAAACCTGATTTGTGAATCAAAAAATCGGGGAGACAGAGAAAGATTTGAATCACAGCGTTAAAATTTGATGAGTTTTGCAACCGGAAATTTGATAAACGGAGGATTCTAATTAGTACTGGTTTTGTAAAACACCCTGGTTACTATCATTCTGGATTTCTCCGTGACTCAAGCTAAGTCACAAAGTGATTTATTCCTTTTCTGTTGACTCATTTTGCCGCGGTACTTACGTTAGTCCCCGCATTTTATCTAGCAAGTATTTCCAATTTGTTATGGCATTAACTCTTTCCAAAGTCTTAATCTCCATAACTCTCGATCCATTTATGAAAACAATGAAAAGCACGCAACAGCGATTTTGCTGAACACCGCGAGACCTTCCATTCGTTCCATCTAAACTGCAAATTCAGCCAGAATATAAGCTCCGTATGGCCTCTTGTTTGATGAAAATTAGGAATATGTCTCAAATCCCTCTGACTGTACATTCTTGTGTTTTCCAACTTACACGAATTCAGCCAGCCCTGCTCAAGTTAGACGAGGCTCTGTAAAAGCGGAGTCCATTGTCGAAGTCAGTTTAAGTGTTGTTCATTTTGATTAGCAGCGAGCTTTAAAATTGATTTGATCCTTAAAATGATTGTTTCGTAGGGAACACGAACATTGTTAGTAGAGAAACGATGATAAAAAAAAAGTAATGATATGTTCTGTATTTCACAGAGGTAGTTCTTGGAGCCAGTTTCCTTACCGCGCACTAATTATTACCGAAAAAGCTTTAGCTACAATGGCGCCACATTATGGAACAGTCTACCATGCGATATAAGGAACACAGAGTCTCTTGGGGTATTTAAACGTAAGATCAATGACATTCTTTAAGTCTAACGCACGGCACTCACGGAAAACAGCTTTTAGTGTTATAGTATATAGTTTGAGTTTTAAATATTCTAGCGTATGTGATATGTATTTTTTAGGCTGATGAATTGACCGTGTTTAAATAAAAATAAAATGAAATGAAATGAAAGCCAAGCGCTACATTTTTAGTCGATTTTGTAACATCGTGTGGATTCTTCCTAATTTGGATCAATTACGCAAACAAGTTCATTGATTTTCAAGGTGGGCGATCAAGAGTTGTCCTGAATAGGGAATAAATCAAAGACAAAGTGATCATAGAAATGGTTTCTTATCTAAGTAATTATTCACCTTTGAAATTCATTGAAATTCGTCCTGCACGTTTCTTAATTTCTTACCTAGTGACCTTTTTTTACTTTAAAGAGACGATGTTACACACTCGTATTGTGGTCAGCCAGCCGAATGACTATATACGCATTTCAGGCACAGTCGAGTACATCTACATTTGGCCGAGCTAGTGAATATGTCGGTGTAACAACCACGGCAAAAAAGTAGCGTTCACCGTACAGAATACGAAGATTGAATTCATGGAAAACGCGGCATTGCGTACGCGGCACTGCGTACGGAAAATCCAATGTTTTCTGTGCGTTTTCGCACCGGTGAATCCCAATATTCGTTCCATTATACGGTAGTTTTCCTTCGCAGTAAATGCAGGTCAAAAAATCATTTTCTGGCATTAACCTTTCGGTTAACGCACTGCAAACAGCTTGTTTTCCTTTTGTTCATTGGCATTTTCCCAGTGTACAACAACGAATTCACCGGAGTTAGCAGCTGAAAACACGCATTTTCCTGGAAGATTAATGTGTGTAAATGCAGGAAAATGCAATGATTTCATGTTTGCTTTTCGTATAACGCATAGAAAATGTCATGTTTTCTTCTGTTCAGAACCATTTTTCGCACGATTAACGAAATGTTCACAAGAGTTTTCCAGTCGAAAGCATGCATTTCCAATATTTCTTACCAATGGTGAATTCGAGCAAATTCGATAAAACGCATTTTTCGGCGTTTTACAGTTTATAACTGTTCGTTTAACCCATGGAAAATAACAGTTATTCTGCTATTCACAGCCGTTTTGCGCATTCCAACTTGATATTCACTGGAGTTAATCAGTCGAAACATGCATTTTCCGGTATTTTCTCTGCAACGGTATATTCGAATTAATTCGTGAAAGGCATGCATTTTCTCGCGTTTACCGCCGCTCGGTTAATCACTGTTCTTCAAATTCGATCCAATGGATTTCACCTCCTAGACTCAACCACTGCTGAAGGCTCTAAAAGAATTTTGTCCCATTTCCCTCTCCAAAACAAGATAAGCACTCTATTAATCATTCTCAATAAGTTTATTGATGCACAGTGATGTTAGCAGTACAATTTATTCAGAGTCCACAATGGAACCTGACAACAATCATGTTTTTCAGCCTTTGAATCCTGCACTATTATTTTACTTTACACATTTCTTTCTCTCTAAAGCCAAAAATAAGCAAAACTTAAACCCTTAGAACAGTTTGATTGATACTTTGAATCGGTAGGATAAAAAAAATTATATATACAAACTATAACCAGAAAACTGATTTCTAGATACATATTTAAAGGTCTAAACTTCTATATCAAGCATTTTGCAAAAATGAGTGTACAGGTTTGAAGAACAAATAATTATGTGAACTGCATGAACCTTGGGAATCAAGGCGAACATTCTGAGAATGCCACCTTACATTAAATCTTGTGCCGACATCAGATCAACGAGAAACACTTCTGGTATTTGAAACTGCAATCAAGAACCTAACAAATTATCTTAATGTTACCACTCAAGAATATCTATTCTTATGACATTACACTTTCATGCTTGGCTACATACAACATCAAATAGTAATCTAAGAGCAAAATTGGAATTCCGTTACCATTTTAATTAGCAGTTTGTTCGTCATTTACAGGGAGTCTACGTTGTTCTGCAAAAATGAAACAAGTGAAACGATCCAAATAGGGCAGCTTTCTAGAACTTTGTTTTTTTAATTCTTTATCTGGTTAATATGAGTGTAGCGTGCTTTTGATGGCACATTTCACTACTTTAAAGGAGTTTTAGGCTTACGTTGCCCATTGAAATTGTGCACCTCCATCATTGACCTAGCGGGAATCCCCAGGGAACATAAAACCCCTTTCTTAAGTCTACAGTATTACGCCTACTTTACTCCGATTTAATTGCACTTGATAACTTCAGCGTCCAACTTCCTGTGTTTATTCGAGAAATGACATACAGAAGCAATGTTTAAAAATCCTTCTTTAAGAGTATTTCCGGGAAATAGAGTTGCCTTCGAGCATATTCTTATTACGCCCACAGTTTTACACCCTTAGAATGAATAAAAGGTTAAGTAGTTGAAATTTCTTCATTCTACAACAGTGCTTCATCATAAAATATACAGCTTTAAGCTTGGAGAAAAAATTTCATCATATAATGTCTGCTTCACAAAATTTCAATTCGCTGCTCAGTGTAACATATTCATTGACGGTTCAAATGTTATCTTCAACTCCTGCACCTTCAACAAGTTACAACAACAACAACAAAGGATCCGAGAAATGTAAGTAACAATCTAAGTTCTCTGATATATTCTTATAACACTTGAGTTGTAAATCTGATTCGTAGAAGACAGCTATCAGCAAAGTGGCAAGCACTTAATTAAATTGGCCAGCTAAAAAAGTGATGATCATTCACTCGCTGCTCTTTCTTTACTTAACTTCTACGATTTTGTCTTTCTTTGCTTCATGCTCTTTCCCTGATGTGTTTCATCAAGCCAAACAAGATTTAATTATTATAATTTTTTAACAGCCAAGAACTGTGCTGAGCTTTTCAAACACAATCTACCCTGATGACAAACCTCCCTTTGATGTATATTGCGACCAGACAAGGGCTGGTGGAGGATGGACAGTGATCCAGAAGAGGCTGAATGGCTTCGTTGATTTCAACCGCAGCTGGGTTGACTACAAAGATGGCTTCGGTAATTTCCTCATTCGTGAATATTGGCTTGGATTGGAAAAGAACCACCTGCCTGACGCGAAACAAGACAGAAAACAAACTCCGCGTGAATCTGGGAGTAAATACGAGCAAAACTGTTCACGATGAGTACAAATGGTTTGGTGTTGAGAATGAGACAGTTGATTACAAGCTACGCATCGGCGATTTTTCACGTAAGCCAGTCTATTCTTCCCTGATACATGATCATTGTCATAGATGATCGTTATTATCACCACCCTTAAATATGGTAAATCTCACAGCTCTTTACTTACATGTCTCGATCTCAAACGATTGTGTGCCATGGAAATATCGTTGTTATTCATACGTTTTTATATTGTTATGCATATCACACTCATGAGTCCAACCTTAAACGATCCATTTACTTTCAAGTTCCCTGTGACTTGGTAGCAGCAACATAGCGCTTGCTAACAGTAGCTCATAATTTTATACACATGTAGAAGCCAAAAATAGGCCAGAGATGGGCTCTTAACAATTATATATGATTGACAACTGTGAAGCTAAAATATATTTAAGTTTTATTCCTTCCTTTTTCTTGTGCAGATGATAATAGTACTGCTAAAGAAGGTTTGAACCGGTGAGTTACATCTGACCATGCAGTTTTGGATCTATACTTCCTACGGGCATCTATTATGATTAGATTAAATCGACTTCATTCCAAATATATTTTAGGGTAAATTTTTAAACGTTTTGCGACAACGTTGAGATAAATGTTGTGCAATAAATAAATGAAGTAGTGGAAGCCTCTTTTGTGTATGAATGATATTGGTAAAAAAAATTAGATATACTAATTCAGTCCCAAACTTGTTAAAATCCTTTGACTGTTTCCTGGGTTTGCCAACTTTCACGAATTCAGCCAGCCCTGCTCGTGTATAGATGAGACTATGTAAACACGAACAAAGTCATCCATGGTCTAAATCAATTGTTGATCATTTTGATTGGCCGCGAGTTTTACAGAAAGCAGAAAATAAACCTGAACCTGAAGTGTACAGACTGATGGGTTCCTTGTGTGGTGCAACTGAAAATGAAAGCGAAGTTGTTTCCCGGGACGATGGTCTGCACTAAACACAGATGTGATGGCATGATATGCAGAAGTAGAGCTGTCATGATCGATGGCACGCTTTCGAATCCTTAGTCGCTTGGTTGAAAATTAATTAATATGCTAGTCAGTTTCTAGTGAGTTTTTTTCAAGGTTAAAGACACACGGAAAAGTAGAAATTCAACAGATATTGTTACAGTGCGTAAATTTGTCTAATCAAATTTAATTGCGTGAGCGTGCTTCATATTCCTATCGTGCACGCTTATGAAGTCAGCAAACAAATCCCTCGAGAGTTTTGTATTCGATCAGAAAATAAAGTTCATTGACACGCATGAATCTTATAATGAATGAATGAATGTTTGAATCTTATGTGGTCGCAAGCATGATTACGTTACTCCTTTGCTGAGGGAACTGCACTGGCTCCCCGTGGAGCAGAGGATTATTTTTAAAATCTTATTTTTTACTTTTAAAGCTTTAAATAATTTATTCCCTGGTTATATCAGTGACTTGTTAGAAACTTATAAGCCTACTAGGTCTTTACGATCATCGAGTAGGAACTTGTTAGTGATTCCTCGCTCCGAGTTGAAATCTTATGGCGATCGCACCTTTTCTGTCTCTGCACCTAAGCTGTGGAATAACATTCCTGAAACCATTAAATGTAGTGTAGATCTTAACACTTTTAAGCGTAATCTTAGAACTTATCTTTTAAAGCGTTATTTTTATGAATGATTACGTTGATTATTATTTTTATTTTTTACTTTGATTGTGAAGCGCCTTAGAGCTTTTAGATAGGGCGCTATGTAAATTGTCATTTATTATTATTATTACTATTACTATTATTATTATTATTATTATTATTCACCTGTCAGTGTTTTGACCAATCTAAGACAAGATCATTTACAGCATAGCGAAATGTTTTCTTGAAACAAAATTATACATACATACATACATAACCTTTATTTAAGTGTCTAATCGTTCTAGTGCCTATTGGCACTAATTGGGGACACCTTTAAGACTAAAATAATAATAAAAAAAAGTCTAATTAAAAACTATTATCAACGCGCTGAGGCGTAGCAGAGAGAATATTAACCCTTTTACCACATTTAACCATCGGGTTGAAAATGTTATAAAACAATTGGTTCATACGTCAGCTGTGCGTTCATCGACTCAAGAAGCTAGAGTTGCTCGAGGCGAAGCCTCTTAAGCGTCTTTCGTGCTCTCCAAACTTCTGTGCTTCGGAAGTGCTTCATATCTCCATGAACGCACGCTGATGTATGAACCAATTGATAATAATGGTAATTGAACTGAGTGGAGTGCAATTTGGGCTGAAATCGTACGCGTGATTTCAAAATCGAACGAGCTCGCGGTGCGAGTTCAATTTGAAATCACAAGTATGATTGCAGACCAAATTTGCACGACACGAAGTTCAATAACCACTTTATTACATCCATTTTGAAATCGCCCAAATTTTATTGACGTAGTAGTGAGCTGGTTTGAAGTTAAATTCATCCATTTTTTCTTTTTTGGGGGGGATAAGAGTTTTGGAAACAAAAGTTCCAGACTTTGCCTCATGATACTCTTTGTCTTTCATTTTCCTGCAATTTGATTGGTTACTTTAAACAAGTAACCAATGAAGTGAAGAGAAAATCTCTTTAAAGATCAACAATGCAATTATCACGTAGGAAAAACTGCACTTCAAAAAGAAAATAATTGTGGTTGAGGTTTTAGGTAATTTGGTATTACTGGCGTCAGTAAACTGAGTTTCAAAGCTGACGTTTAGAGCGTTAGCCCTTCGTCAGAGCGATCCAGCTGGTACTCAGGTATTTGGCTTGCTGATTGTTAAATTTGAGTGTTCAAGCGTGACTCACGGTTTATTCCTTCGCGAAGAGAAATAATGACGTTCTGATCTTGCTCGTGAGTAACTTAACTAACACCCCAGTGTTTCAGCATCATTTGCTCACGTTATCCGTCTTCATTGCCAAATTAATTGATTAATAATTGATCACAGCCTTTCCAAAGGTCCATATAAAGATTAGAAAAAGAAAATACCGGTAATACTGGAGGAGTACTTTGGTACTCATGTATTTGTCTCGCTTAATTTCTTTTTTGAGTGTTCAAGCGGAACTCAGAGTGCATTCTACCGCTTATGGTGGAGAGAGTAGAACTCCGATGTTGCTTCCTCGTTTCTCAATTCCATTTTCTCACATTATCTTGTTTCATGGCGAAAATAAATCATAAATTGACGATTAAATAATTTAACTTTGTGCACACCCTCTCATGTTTTGAAATTACGCTGAAAAGTGTAATCTTAAGTGTAGTCAGCCGTGGTGGTCTAACGACAAATTAATATATTCGTAAGTGGTATCAGTAAAAAAATTATCTTTCTAAATTCTATTGTTCTCACAACATTTACTCGCAGTGGCGAAAATGTTACATATCTGCAATATAAGCGGCGAAGCGTAAACAGGGAGGCTCTCATTGGTCGAAGATCACGCGCGCTTTCCTCCGAAGGGAATACTGCATTAGCTCATTAACTTGTCAAGGCGGAGCTAAGAAACAAAGGCCTCAAAACTTATTGTTTTATCTATTGTTTCTGATATCACACTCAAAGCGCGCGTATTCGATTTTTTCAAAAGCCATAATACTTTCATCTCTCGCTACAACCTAAACAACATACATTTCGCTTCATATCAAGCTTACGACAGTTTGATAAACATCGGGTGTTTCTATTATTTATCACTTAGGATTCGATTGTCTCATCGAAAAATTACTTACATCATAAATGATGGACGAAATAAAGTCTTTGAAACGCTCTAACGCAATTTTTACTAGATCGAGGAAAGGAAAAAAACCTACGAAGTAGAGCATAGGAACAAATGCTGTAAGACTGTAATGTTTGTAATGTTAATGTCGTGGATGAGTTAACATTACAAACGAACCGAACAGAACGACCTAACTTCACTAACGGATCCAAACCGACCAATCACGACTGACCTTCGCCACTTGAGTCTTACAGCCAATAACATCACGGCAAAACTGACCAATCAGTGTACACAAACCGGACTAAGTACATTCGACTGACAACAACCTTTCACTTGACTCTGATGATGACTTCCGTTCAGGTTGTCGAAACGTCAGTCACCACTACCGACACAGTCCTTTTCAGGACTCCACTCACCCGGACGATCAAACTACACTATTACATGTTACCCCCGGGTTCAAACCATTTACTGTAAAGAAAACTCTATTTGGCGCTCATCTTTGAATGTACTTTTCATCGATTAACCGCTCTTGCTTCAAGTTGTTTCTTTTCTCAACTGTTTTGCTTAATATAACACTTCTAAAGATGGGTTTTTTTGTGGATCAATGGCAAAACGAGAACAGCGTCAGTGTTGTAAATGAAAAGAAAGTCGTTGGCGCTGTGGAATTAAAAGAAGGGACAATTAACAGTTGACATATTGACTGGTTCGAACAACGATCGAGTGGTCATTTATAAAGCTAGGATTTTGAAAGTTTGTGGCGAGTACAAATTGTGATATTCGTTATGTGATCAAAATCTTACCAAAGAATAGATATAACGGCTTGAATTAAGCTTACATAACGCTCGGTACAACTGAAACTCGAATAATTCTGAGAATCGAATTGGTCACTTGCTGCAGTTTCCTACGCTTACACTTTACAATGATATAAATCTATCAGCAAGGTTTCAAAATTACTTTAGTCACGTTTGGGAACATTCTGACCTTGCTTTGCTTTGAAAAATTCGACTAAAGAGAGAGCAGAATTTAAATCACTACCTTCTTTGTCAAATTTTTGATAACATGAATTATTGAAGTTTTGTCTTTCTTCTATTCTTTGATATACAACAGCCATAATCCCAGGTGGGATCCCACCCGGAACACACCTGGGATCCCAATTGGCAGGATCCCATGCGGGATGTTCCATAGTCCCAGGTGGGATCCCAGGTGGGATCCCACCTGGGACACACCTGGGATCCCAGGTGGGATCGGCGGGATCCCACTTTATATTTTTACCTGGTTAAGGTAAGTCAGAAATACCGTACTTTTTAACTGATACACGTGGGATTGTTTTACCTGTTCAGAGCATATGCTTTTTTTTTTTTAATTTTCAATTCCTGGTCTATTAAATTACACTCGACTCCCGACATCTTGAACCTTCAAGGCAAACTGAAAAGGTTTCGAGTTATCGGGAATTCGATCGAGTTAACGGGAGTTGAGGATACACGCACTGATGTACCTTAAACCAACGAAGCGTGAACTGAACGAAAATTGCTTCTAGGTTCGAGTTATCGGAGGTTTGGAGGATCGGGAGTTGACTGCATTAGGAAAAGGAGTTTCACGTCTGGGTTTCTGTGTGTATTTTGAAGAAAAAAGTTTTTTGCAAATAGAAATCCGTTGTGTAACAATGTCAACGTATGGCAGCACCACGTTTAGTTACATCAGCGATCGGGGGTTCAGCGAGCTCTGGAAAGAGCTCCCGATCATTGACAGTTTGTTGGACGATAGAG